CCCTGCTGCCCCTCCCCCGCCCACTCCTGCCGGCGTCCGGGGCCGCCCCGTTACCCCCTGCTGGTCCCAGTTCCCGTCCCAGTAACACTGAGCTGGTCCCAGTTCCCATCCCATTACCTTAAGCTGGTCCCAGTTCCCATCCCAGTGCCCCCAAGCCGATCCCAGTTCCCATCCCGTTATCCTCGTGCCGGTCCCAGTCTGCCGGCGTCCGGGGCCGCCCCGTTACCCCCTGCTGGTCCCAGTTCCCGTCCCAGTAACACTGAGCTGGTCCCAGTTCCCATCCCATTACCTTAAGCTGGTCCCAGTTCCCATCCCAGTGACCCCAAGCCGATCCCAGTTCCCATCCCGTTATCCTCGTGCCGGTCCCAGTCCCATCTCATTATCCCAGTGCTGGTCCCAGTTCCCATCCCAGTAACCCTGAGCTAGTCCCAGTCCCATCCCATTATCTCCCTGCTGGTCCCAGTCCCTGTCCCATTATCCCAGTGCTGGTCCCAGTCCCATCCCGTTATCCCTGTGCTGGTCCCAGTTCCTGTCCCAGTAATTCTGAGCTGGTCCCAGTCCCATCCCTTTATCCCCGTGCCAGTCCCAGTCCTATCCCATTATCCCAATGCTGGTCCCAGTTCCCATCCCGGTAACCCTGAGCTGGTCCCAGTCCCGTCCTGTTATCCCCCTGCTGGTCCCAGTCCCTGTCCCATTATCCCAGTGCTGGTCCCAGTCCCATCCCATTATCCCCATGCTGGTCCCAGTTCCCATCCCAGTAATTCTGAGCTGGTCCCAGTCCCATCCCTTTATCCCTGTGCCAGTCCCAGTCGCATCCCATTATCCCAGTGCTGGTCCCAGTTCCCACCCCGGTAACCCTGAGCTGGTCCCAGTCCCGTTCCATTATCCCCTGCTGGTTCCAGTCCCTGTCTCATTATCCCAGTGCTGGTCCCAGTCCCATCCCGTTATCCTCGTGCCGGTCCCAGTTCCTGTTCCATAACCCTGGTGCTGGTCCTGGTCTCCATCCCATCATCCCAGTGCCTGTCCCCATCCCAGTCTCCATCACAGTATCCCAGTGCCGGTCCACATCCCCCGATCCCAGTTCAATATCGCAGTGCTGGTTCTGCTCCCAGTCCCATCCCATTACCCAGCGCCAGTCCCAGTTCCAATCCCAGTCCCATACCGCTATCCCGGTGCTGGTCCTGGCCCCCCGCTCCCAGTCCCGTTATCCCGGTACTGGTCCCGGTCCTGTCCTGTTGTCGCAGTACTGGTCCTGTCCCCTTATCCCGCTGCTGGTCCCGGTCCTATCCCGTTATCCCGCTGCTGGTCCCAGTCCTGTACTGGTCCCGGTCTTGTCCCGTTATTCCGGTTACCGGTCCCAGTCCTGTCCTGTTATCCCAGTACTGGTCCTGTCCCCTTATCCCGGTGCTGGTCCCAGTCCCGTCCCGTTATCCCGGTTACTGGTGCCAGTCCTGTCCCGGTCCCAGTCCTGCCCCGTTATCCCTGTGCTGGTCCCAGTCCCGCCCCGTATCCCCGCCGCCCCGGGCACTGGTCCCAGTCTCTGCCCCCCCCGCGCCGGGGCCGAACTGGGCAGCGCCCACGCGGGGCCGGAGGGGCCCGGCCGGGGCAGAGGGGCCCCGGGGGACGTCGGGGGGGCGGCACCCCACGGGGACGGGAACACCCCACGGGGACGGGGACACCCCCGGGCCGCGGACACCCGTGGCACCGGGGGCGG